GGATGGGATGGGATGGGGATGGGGATGGGGATGGGGATGGGGATGGGGATGGGATGGGATGGGATGGGATGGGATGGGATGGGATGGGGGTGAGGGTGGAGATGGAGATGGGGGCACTGCAGGAACCCAACGGAGGAGCGCCGGGGGGGTCGGGCAGCGCTGTGATGCAGGTCGTGGCTCTGCCCCACCGACAGCCCCGTGGCACCTCCTGCCCTCGGGTCACCGCTCCGGTTGGGTTCGGCCCCGCACCGCCGCGTCCCGTTCCGGAGTGGGGGCGACCGCCTCCCGTCCTCCTCCCCCCTTTTCCCGGCAGCGAGACCCGGGGGGGTTTAGTTGCGACTTTCCTGGACGGCGGCCGCACCACGGGAAGCTTTGCCGGCCGGGCTGCAGCTGCCACCGCGTGCCTGGGATGGCTGAGATGCTTCTGCGGAGCCCACACAGCGCCGCGGGGGCCGAGCGGGGAAGGCGAGGGAGGGGGGAAGAACCCGCAGCCTCTCCGTTGCCGTCAGCTCCGTGCCTCAGTTTCCCCACTCTCAGCCCTGTTATCCCCGCCGCGTCCCGCACTGCTCTGCCCGGAGCTGCGGGAGAAGCGCTGCGGTTCCCCGCCGGTTCGATGACTCAGCGCTGCCCGACGCCGCGCGTTGATGACGGGGTTCAGGAACGGCCGCCCCGCACTGGGGGTCACCGGGACTCCGCGTGGCGCTGACTCAGCGTTGCGATGAGTTTGGGGGTGCTCAGCCCCTCCCCCACCACCCCGCAATGTGGGACAGGCAACGTCCCCATGGGTGGCATCGCTGCCCCAGTGCTGCGTCCCCTGCAGGGACACCGCGTCCCTGTGTGCGTGCACATCACGTGCACCATTCACATGCATTTGTACGGTGCGTGCACCGCATGCCTGAACAACTGCAGGCTGCCCCGAGCTCCTTCCTGCCTCAGTTTCCCCAACAGAGAGGTGTTCCCCCCCTCTGGGTGCACAGCACAGGGTGCTGCCAATGCCCTGGAGGGGTTACGTGTGTGGGCACCCCCTTCTCCCACATCGCCAGGGCTGCAGGAAGGAGTGCTGAGGGTGGGGGGATTCCAGGTGGGAGGGCTCTATGGGTGGGGGGTTTCCTTGGGGCACCTCTGTGTGGGATTTCCCAGCCCTGTGTTGTGATGGGGAGCCCCCCCCGCCTCCATCCCCACCTCAAAACCACCCACGGGGGAAAAATAAGACCACAGGGGTGCCCCCCCCACCCACACCTCTACCTCCACGGTGCTGTGGAGGCAGGAAGGGATGAACACAGACAGTGGTGAGGTTAGAAAATTTATTGGAAAAAAAAAAAAGAAAACCAAAAACCAAGAGTTGTTCTGCAATCAGTACAAGAATAGACTCTGTGGTGGGTTTGGGTTCGGGTCAGGGTCTCCCCAGTGGCTCGAGTGCAAAAATGAACCAAAAAAAACAAACAAACAGTGTCACATGTCCATCCATGTCACCACCGCCGCGCCATCCCAGGATGAAGTTCGGCCGAATCCGTCCTCCTCCATCACCAAGGGGACCGAGCGCTCCATGGGCACTCACAGGGACCCCCAAAAACGGGACCCCCAAAAACGGGACCTGTGCGCCCCACGGCTGCCCCGGGCTCAGCCCCACAGCTGTGCCCACCGCTGCGCCGGGCGCTCTGCGTTCCTCTCCGGTTGGACAGAAAAATCCCTGTCTGTGCTCGGGGCGCTGGGGCGGCTCTGTGCTCCCCGCAGCTCTGCTCTCCATCCCGGCGCTGAGCTCAGCGCTCCTGCAGCCGCACCACCGGCACCCATTGGTTGCGGTCGCGGCTCTCGGCGCAGTAATTCGCCACCTCAGCCAAACCGTGGCTCTGCCAAGCGTCTGCGTGGGGCATCTGGGGAGAGAGCACAGAGATGGCACGATGCACAGCTGGGAAGGGATGGGGTGACGTGAGGGGTGGTGGTGGCACAGGGGCACCGTGGCACAGCAATGGCATCGTCATGGCACAGTGACACCGCGGCATAAAGTGTGGCGATGGCATCGTGACACCATGATGGGACACGGCACTGTCACGGCACCGTGGCACAGCAATGTTATTGTCATGGCACAATGATGGCTTGGCACAATGGAACCATGGCACAGCAATGGCACTGTGACACCACGGCACAAGGTGTGGCGATGGAATTGTGGCACTGTGACACCATGATGGGACGTGACGGTGATGGCATCACCATGACACAACGGCACCATTGATGATGGCACCACCGTTGCACAAAGCACAGCGACTCCAAGGCACAAAGCGTGCCAACAGCATCGTGGCACTGTGGCACCACAATGGGACGTGGCATAGCAATGGCACTGTCGTGGCACAAAGCACAGTGACACCACAAAGGGCCACAGCACAACGATGGCACTGCGATGCCATCACTGTGATGCAACGACAGCAGCACGAGGTGCAGTGATGGCACAACGCCGTCACCACGGCACAACGGCAGCAGCACGGTGCCACTCCTGGCACGCATCCCCACACCCACATGACTCAGAACAACCCCACGTCACCCCCCGTGCTCACCGTGACCAGCAGGCAATGCAAATCGCGTGGCTCAGCTCCAGGCGCCGGTTCTCCCAGCACAGCCGCCAGGCGCCGCATGCCGGCCACTCGCACGATGTGGATGTCATTGTCGCAACAGAAGGCTTGGATCAGCGTGAAGTGGATCTGGAGGGCGATGTCACCTTCGTCCTCCTCGTCGGTGGCCAACACGCACAGCACGACGCTGTCGGGGTCCCTATTGGGGACGGGGGGGGGGCGTTACAGGGATGCACGTGACGCAGCCCCCCTAAGCTCAGCGACCCCCACCCGCGTTATACATATACACACAGACAGGGGGGCGTGCAGCCCCCCCAGCCCCAAATTAACCCCCGCACACACACACACCGACCATCTCCCGTCTTCACATTGAGCCGCCACCCCCCGCTCCCCCACGTGTCCCCGCACCGCCCGCATTAAACGCACCGACCCCCCCCCAAAATGAACCCCCTCCCCAAACTGAGCCCCCCCCCCGCCCCCCCCGCCTCGCTCCCCGCACTTACGCGTTCAGCAGCTTGGCGGCCTCGTAGACCCCCACGCTGAGCCGAGCGCTGCGCTGCGCCGCCGCCAACAGCCGCTCCACCGCCGCTCCCACCGCGCGCATCCTGCGGGGCACAGCGCGATCAGCGCGGGGCTCAGCAGCACCGCACCGCGTCCCGTCCATCCCCACCCCCTCCCCCCCCCGCAGCGCAGCCCCGCACCCACCTGGGGCTATCGCACGGCAGCAGCTCCTCCAGGGTCATATCGCGATATAATCCAAAGGATGGCACAGAAGCCCTACGAGAGATAATCCGAGCGGCGGGGCTGCCGCTGTCACAGCTTCTCAATAGCGATATCTTCTCAATAGCGATATCTTCTATCTTCCGTCGCGATCTCTGCTCTGTCGCGATATCCGCGCTCCGTTCCGCTCCGCGATCGCTCTGAGCCGCCTCGCGCTCCGCCGCCGCCTTTTATACCCCTCCGGCGCGTGCCGCCCCCGCTCCTCCCATTGGCTGCGCGCGTGGGGAGCGGCGCGGTGATTGGTGCGCGGCGCGGGGATCCCACGTGGGGTGCGCGTGGGAGCGGGGAAACCCCCGCCCCGAAACTGCACCCCCCCCCCCCCCCCCCCCCCCCGCAACGCCCCCCCCGGTTCTCCCCGTTTCAACCCCGCGGAACGGGAACTGCGGGGGGGGTGCGCGGCGCATCGGAGCCGTGTGCAGTGCGGGACACACGGGGCTGGGGGGCTTCGGCCGTGCGTTGAGAGGGGCGCCCCCCCCCCCCCCCCCGCCCCGCGCCTCGGGCGCCCCCTGGCGGCCGGAGCTCCGCTGGCGTCGGTCCTCCCGCACTGCCCGCCAGAAGGGGGCGCCAGCGGCACGCGGCGCTCTGCCCACCTCTCGCTGCTCCCGCGATGCCCGATGGGAAATGGAGGCGCGGCGGCTCCTTTCCGCTTTGTGGGCGGCGTGGACTGCGTTACCCAGAGTGCACCGCGCGAGGGAGGGGGCGGGGATTAAGGTCACGTGTGGAGCGGCCGAGCCGCGAGGAGCGGAGGGTTCGGCTTAAACAGCGTGGGTCGGGCTGGGACCCCCGCGCCCCCAGGGGGGGATGGGGGGCTTGGAGGGGTCCTGCCAGCTCAGCGCAGCCCCGCTGGGGGTCACACGGATGGGGGGTGAGGGGTGGGTCTGTATCAGAGCCGCCCTGGGGCTGTCCGTCCGTCCGTCCGTCCGTCCATCTGTGTGTCTGTCCCTGCAGCTTCTTTGGAATAAAAGTGGTTTGTGAGACGTGTA